GAATCTGTTTCCAAGCACTTCTGAAGTGTTCTTGAGTCAAGATCATCTGTTGAAGTTAGTTGGAGAACCTCTACACACAGCTGTGTAGTGAGTGGGCTAAGTCAGTGCTTGCCTATGGTGTTCTTTTAGTGAGCTCACTAAAGTTTTGGCATGTATTGCCTCTGTTTCTGTTGGGATCAGTGTCCCTTGTGTATTTTAACTCAAATCTGCCTTGAAGGTTGTGTCATGCCAGTGAATGATGATGAGCCTAAACTTCCATGGCAATGGCAAAAACCAAAACTCTAGAGGAGTTCACGGAAAATGACGTGTAGCAGCAATAAAGGCTTTGTTGTTGTGTGAGTGTTTTGGTGCACCTCTGTGCAATGAATTCCTCAAGAACGCAAGTATACACTGTGACTTTTCAGTCAGCGAAGTAGTACCCTTAACAATCAAGTACTAGAAAGTGTTGGCTGTAAGCCGGGAAGAGTCTCAATAGATGAGAAGGAACAGAATCCGGTATAACTGGGAATACCGGCAAGCCATGAACAAAGTGACAGTAATTAACTAGTAAAAGCCATGGGCAGAATTGGCAGAATTAATGGAAATGCTGTCAAAGAGAAATACCATTTAGCAAGATAACAAATACTGGGATGGCAATAGACAAAGACTGTAGTCAGGAAACTGACAGTAAAGCGAAGAGAGACTGGCTGGCAGAAATGTGAAGAGGAAGCTAGTGGCAGCAAAATGATGACTGATACTGGGCGAGGCTGAGACTAAAACTGGGCTGAGGTTAACTGCAGTAAAATGAAACTGATACTGATCCTGAGTCTACACGGAGACTATCCTATACTGAAACTGACAGCAAGATACCAAATGCCATGACTAATGATCCTATGCTGTTGACTGAAATTCCATGACAGACACTGCTGGCAGCAATAATGATCCTAAACTGGGTCCACACAGGGATGTAACTGTACTGAGCTGAGCTGGGGTGAAACGATGGCAATGTAGAAAGTGAAAGCTGGTAAAATGATGCTGGTGGAATAAAAGATAAAAGCAAGTTGTGGACATGAAATTCCATGTATTGGCACAATATAAGCATACACCAATACTGTTAGAAGAAAAGCCATGACAGAGAGTATAATGTGGAGTGACTATGCTGTTATTGTCTGTCTCCTAGTGGGTACAAGAGATAGTGGTTGTAGCAACTTAGTTACTTGTCATTTATAACCTGTGTGTCCTGCAACTCCCTATTTTCTGTGGTGTATACTAGCTTTTATACTACAAGTCCGGAATAAATTTAGAATACTTGAAGCGATGATGAACCTATAGACTCCCGTGGGCGGAAACACAAAACCTAGGTGTGATATGTGCTAACAGACATGGAATCTGAAGGATGGTTCTAGCGAGTCTAGTCGGGGCACCTCTGTGCAGTGACTAAAGCCTCCTAAGTTCAGAAAGATAAAGAAATTTCTCTACTAGTAGCGTAGAGGATGGTAGTGAACTATAAAATTCACAGGAAGGGAAGTAATTGGGAAAGGGATCCTAGAAGAGGCCCTAAAATGAATCAGTAAATGTACAAGGACTATACCTTGTTCCTGTTGCAACTCTAGCTGCGAGTGCAACGAATAAGAGCTCTAAAGAGACTGTCCAAGTTCTAGCTGCGAACTCAGAGGCTGTAGCAAATTATTAAACTCGTGCAGTAAGGTTGAATCAAAGTGATGAGGATCGGTCTGATACTCGATGAGACTTTCTCTGGCTGCGAGAAGGAGAAGGTGTTGATGGGAGGGATGAAAATGCTGTCTCCTAGCTGCGGAAGCAAGCGAATTTGTTTGTGAAGCAAAGCAATAAAAGAGTTTTCTAATGACGGGACTCCTAATTACTTTGCGTAGAAGAGAGGGATGGGTTGTAAGCACAAGTAACCATTAAAGGTTCACCATTGCTTAGAGAAATAAAGGTCCAAGATGAAGTTCTAGCAGCAAAATGTCTTTATTGCGCTACTTCAAGGGTGTATGTTGTATGGTGTAGGTGTTAGAGATCGAAGGTAAGCATAGAGAATAATCTGGGGTCTCCCTTTTTCCTCTTCTCAGGCTACCAACTTGCGAGCTTAAATACTCATTACACTGGCTAACTAAGCTACCTTACTCTAGCACTAATATTACTATAGCATAGATTATTCAAGTACTTAGCAAAGGTTGGTAAGTATGCACAGTTACTGCGCCTAAGGCTATACTAATGTGACTAAGAGTTCTCACTAACCAGATCTCCAATACTTCGATGAATAATTTTCTATGGCTGTGGCTGACTTGCCATAGTTTTACCTACACGATGTGTTTTGCAAGGCTGCACGTGGATAATTCGTGACTGCAGGGATGTTTCACATGTGGTGGCAGTGCTAGTTCTAGACTGTGAGGCACAAAGTCCACGGTGATGTGCTCGGTAACGGCGAGTGACAAAAGGCTAGTGAATGGATATGAACACCACAACACCAAAACCCTCTACTACTCTACACTAATCACCAATATTATTGAGTTCGGGTGTTTCGAGTATGATAGAAGCACTCTGCAGACTTCAACAAATCAGGGAAGGGTTGTTTAAAGACGTATATTTGGTACTAGTGAGCTACACAAGATGTAATACTTGCGCTAGCAGGGTTTTAAGACACGATTGGATGAATAGTGACTTGTGTTGAGCAACTGCGCTCGGTCTAACTCTGATACTTCAAAACTAGTGGCACTCTGGGCCAAATACTGGGTCTCACAAGCGGTCTACACTTGACTAGCGGCACCCTAGGCTCGACTAGTGGCACTCTTGGCCTAAGAACAAATACTTTAACTCCGAGAAAATACTTTAACTAACTTCGAAACGCTCTGAGTCACTCCAAGACGGAATAGTAACTTTAAGACACTTCAATTCGTTCAATACTATAGGTGACTAAGCGACTAGTAGACACTTCGTCGAGGTTAAGCACAAAAGCCTTTAATTGGGGCACTAGAATACTGACTAGTAGGTCACAATCGCAGGGATGGCTTGCCTGGCATGTGAGGCAGCCCCTTCTACTACTTATATACTACAGAGACAGGTACAGAATAAATATAAATAGATTCTTTAGGGGTAATATTGGTAAGGATATCTTGGCTAGTCACGAATTATGGTGAATAATCACGCAATAGTCGGCCTAGCCTGTTCTTTCTGTCGGATAGCAGGTCGAGGGACTCCGCTATTGGGTCATTTCCGCACCCTTTGCCCAGCAGTGCTCCACTAGTGACACGGCTATACGAATAGTCAGGTAACCGTGCCTGTAGCAACTGCTCGATCGCGATCGGGGCGCAGCCCAGCTATACTAGTGCCGATCATATGAGATCTGTATCACACTAGCCAGATCTGGGCTAAGGGTTATGCCTTTACTGGTTTATTTCTAAGTCCTTTCAGAAGTGCTCGCGTGACTAGTCATCCTGACTTAGGTGTTCATGCCCAGATTGGTCTACTAGCGACTGAATAGTCGAGATCTGTGTGGGTTCTTACTTCTTGTTTGGGCGCTAGCAGCTGTATTCTTTACTAGTGACCATATTTTACTAAGTCATACTAGCTTTGGAGGTGCTAGTCCAGTCGGCTGGTAGGGCTGACCCACTAGTGGTATCATTCCTAAGTCCTGACTCGACTAGTAGCATGCTAACTTGACTATCAGTCCGAAGTCTCAACTATAGCCCTTGATATACGACTAGTATAGGATAGACCTGCAACAGTATTGTTATAAAATCGCAAAATCTAGGTGTGAACGCGTAGATGGCATATCAACAGGGAGAAGGGAAGGATTGATAGGGCTGATGCTGATGACATCATACACAAATCACTAACTTTGCATGCTGAACACCAATTGACTTGGTTTAAATTGCATCTTGCTTGCAATCATTGAATTAGGGAAAGTCCGCTATAGGGACCAAGGTGATAAATTGTAGATTGTGTCCGCGATTTCAGAGCGCACAGAGCCTAGAGGCTCATCAGCGAGTCCTTAGTAAGTCCATAGTACATAGATTGGTAAGAAATGATACCAAACACATGTTCTCAAGGTTCTAAAGTAACAGCACCCATATGGATTTACCGCATATAGATGAAGTGATTAGCAAGAATGCCACCGATCTCCAGAATTTTGAGCTGCTGTGTTGCTGTGACAAAGTACATTGAAGCAAGTGTACTGAAGTAGATGCTTGCAGCAATCTCTTGGCAGTATAACAGCCTTAGTAAAGACTGAGGAAAGGTCATGGCATTAGAGCTAATGCCATGGAATTGCTATTTGAGCTGCGGAATTGTGGCTGTGCTGCGGAATTGCGGCTGTGCTAGGCAATCAGATGGGATTCTAAATTCGTGAGATTGACAATCAGGTGCCTGACAGAATTAATGAAAGAAGACTGGCAGAATTAATGAAAGGGGGCGTGTAATTGATGTGGGGTACAAGTGGGGAAGGATAATTGGCGGCATTAAGCAATATTGCTGGGATTGAAATAGTATGTTGGTGTGGTGGCTGGAGAATTAGCTATCTGGTAAAATCCGTGAATTCTGAGCATACAGAGCCTGGAGGCTCATCAACGACCTTCCTGTAAAAGTTTCTAGACTTAGGAATTTATTAGAGAAAGTTTAGCTTCACTAAGAGCATTGAGAATAAGAGAAACTCTTTGAGATATTGGAGTATAGTCAGATCACATTAGAAATAATCACTCCCCCTAGAACTTACAAGGGTGTTTGTAGTTTGTGTAGTTGTGTGAGTGTGTGTGTGGGTTTTTGAGGTTCACCTTTTAGCCTGCTCACTATTCCACAGGTGCCCACAGCCAGCCTCTTCAATGTATTATAGAGTTGTCTTTTCTATTTCACTAACCTGATTCCTCACTGCTCAGCACCAGCTGTTGACAACAAGTACTAGGCAGCCACCAAAATTTGAGTCCAACATTATTGAAAACCTTTACCTAATTGTAATACCAAATTGCATGCAATGGACCAAAAATTGTCAATATTGCATTCAAATATTCCCTCTAGCCAACTTGAACAACTGACCTCATCATAAACATACTGAGAGATAACCCACTAGTGATACATTCTACCAACTGAGCTAAGAGGGAATAAAAGTGCAGAGTCTACATCTCATTATAGCTGTCAAGAAACCTTAGCCATAGCTCCACTCCACTGAATACAATGCAATAATGGCACAACAAAACAACCAAGAATGGATGTTAATTGACAGCAACAACAGGAAGTGAGTATGAGTTGGGTTGATGGTATGTAAAGAGTACAATACATAGATAGTCCATCAGAAGAACATTTTGGAGGGAGGTATAGATAATAAGTATGAGTATGAGTGCATAATCATTTGTAAATAAACCCTAAAAAATAGTCTTTGTCTGAAAGAAAAATGTCTTAGAGAGCGATGACCCATGCCAAGACAGCAGTGAAGACACCAGCACCTCCAATCTGCACATGCAAGGCAGCATTGAATGCAGAGGTGGAAGCAGTAGCAGTGGCTGAAGAGGTGGAGGGGGAGGTGGAGAACGCATAGGTGGAGGAGCCTGATGCTGAGGCAGAGGCTGAGCTTGCATGGGAGATGAACCCAGATGCAGTGGGAGAGACAGAGCCTGATGCGGAGCTAGAGGTGTGCTTAGTGAAGGGAAGTGAAGGGTGAAAGGATTAGGGTGACTCATGCAGACCTGGAAACTGAGGCTAATCCACTGGCACTGACACTGGCACTGACACTGGCACTGGCACTACTGCTCTCACTGGCAGAGCCTGTTGACAATGTGGAGGCTGATGAGCTGACTGGTTCTGAGATGGAGAAAGTGCTGGTTTGAGCATAGATGTCATTGATGTTGGAGATATTCATGAGTTCAGTTGTGTAGCCATCCCTGCAGAACAAGCAATCCATTAGCATGAGAAACCAACCAACAAAAAGATCTAAATGCACTAAGTGCTGAGCAGAGATCTGAGGAAGAGTGAGGCTGAGAGATCTGGTGATAGCATACTGGCTGTGGAAGGATTGGTTGATGAGCACTAGCTCAATAGAGAACACTGATGGGTCACCAGATTGCATCGTCCATGAGATCATTATGAGTCCAGTGGAGGTGATGGTCTCTGTCAGGTTGCCAATGTGAGACTGTGTATGAGTGTCAGAGGGAGGGCAATGAGGGCAGAGAATATCATGCAAGGAAAGGTAGGAGAAGGGAGTGAAAAAAATGTGGGAATCCCCAATTGATAGATTTTAATTGGTCAAAACACCAAGGTGAGATAAATGGCATTGCATGCATGTGCTCTGTCAACCTGCAGACACCAACTTAGAACAAGCTCAAGCAGACTCAGAAGAAGTGATACTCACACCCCAGCCTTCTCCATCTACAGCGACGACAACTCTTTCTTAGGAAATCCCCAATGTTGAGGAAACCCATCTGTCTCTCCATTATATGCATTGCAGTAGGGCAAAAACTCCATGGGCATGGCTGCATGAATGACTGCACACTGTCCATGCTACAAATAGTGTGGTTGATATTATAAATATTGACAAACCCTCTTGATCCTCCTGTATCTTCAAAGTGGATGAGTGTCCTAACTTGGACAACTTGGAAATGTAAGGTCAATCTTGAAAGTCGAAATTAGAGGAACGTCAAGCAAAAGAAGAAAAACCCATACCTCCATTCTCAAGAGAACTGGTTAAGGCAAACACAAGCTTCAACCTCTTACCCACCCACTGAGGGAAGTGTCTGTGCACCATACCCATTCTCCTCTCCTCCTTTTCTTGGCATGGAACTACCATCCTTCCTGGGTAGTCACATATCAAATTAGTGCTGACAGTTTAGAGAGTACTTCAGCAGACGGCCATAACTGAGCGTTCTTGTTGACTCATTTGATTCTTTTGTGATCATCAACAGTGGCAGGCTCTAGAGAGGTAGACTCAGAGTGGGTGACAGCCCAACATCGAAAGAACAACATATTCATGAGAGATGAGCTTCAAAGCAGCAGAGAAGATGCAAGCACAAATGAGAGCACATTGTTTCCCATGGCCCAATCAACAATGATCATGTGACTCTTTGGCTTTCCTCTTTCACTCAGATCTTTGTGCACACAATTCTGGTATTGTTTGGGTATTGTCAAACACCTGCCTAGAACAAATAAGATGAAGGGTTCTGGCACAGGACCCAGACTCAAATAACTCAGCAGGGATCTGATTCTAAATACTCAGAGACAATTATCTTGGCTTCTGTATGGATGATGCATCAATATGACTTTTGGTGGGCCTTACCACTAGACAAATGGGCATCAATTACCTTTTCCAAGCACAGGCTAAAGAAAGAGTAATGTGAGATGACCTCCCAAACAGCTGGATCGCTATTTATACTGCCTTTGATCCTGGCATATCCTATCCACAAAAGGCTTCTTTGTTACATGGCATTCTGATATGTGAGTATGCTGATCGCTCCTCTACAACATGATCTTCACCCTGCATTTGTATCTCAGTTGCAGTTCATCCTAGACTACTGATAGTTCCTACTTTTCTACTCATAGCCATGTTCAGATGCCATGCAACAGACTAGCTATCTACATCACCACAACACCCATCCTTTCATGTTTAGTGCATACACAACTAACATATCTCACTATTTGTTCCTCCATCTTATTTCACAAGTCCAAGTCCTGTTTTTTCATTGCGTGAAGTACTTAAATTCACTGGACAGGTTTTGTTTCTGTTTTGCTACTTTGAATGGCTTTTTTCTCAGTGTTCCTGAAGGAGATACACCAGCTTAAAGCATCACATGGTTCCCTACCCGAGTGCACCTGGACCTGACCTGCCAGGTCCTAGGTGCCAAATTGATGGACCCAGGACCTGCACCTGCACCTGGGTCTTAAAAACCCAGGTCTTACAGGTGTGGGTCCCAGGTTTGCCATGGGTGTATGCATGTTATATAAACTATTTGTAGGTGTATAAGGGTTTTTGAGGTCGCTGAATCCGAATCTGTTATTGGTTGGCTGATCAGAAGTCTCCCCGAGCCATAATAACCATCCGAAGCTATTTTATTATGTGTAGCATTTCTTCACCTTGTCTTTCTTGAGTTCGCATTAATGATAAAGTGTTTTTGAGGTTGTAGAACCTGAATATGATGTCCGATCATCCATCGGAAAACATCTGAAGCCGTGATCAGTGTTCGGAGTTATACCATCATTATTTGCATCTTTTCCAACCCTTTTCAGGAGGCCATTGAAGAGGCTGGCTGTGGGCATCTGTGGAATAGTGAGCGGGCTAAAAGGCGAACCTCAAAAACCCACACACACACTCACACAACTACACAAACTACAATCACCCTTGTAAGTTCTAGGGGGAGTGATTATTTCTAATGCGATCCGACTATACTTCAATATCTTGAAGAGTTTATCTTATTCTCAGTGCTCTTAGCGAAGCTAAGCTTTCTCTAATGAATCCCTAAGTCTAGGAACTTTTACAGGAAGGTCATTCACTGGCGTGATGCAACCTTCAAGGCAGATTTGAGTTATAATACACAAGGGACACTGATCCTGACAGAAACAGAGGCAATACATGCTGAAACTTTAGTGAGCTTGCTAAAAGAACACCACAGGCAAGCACTGACTTAGCCTGCTCACTACACAACTGTATGTAGGGGTTCTCCAACTAACTTCAACAGATGATCTTGACTCAAGAACACTTCAGAAGTGCTCGGAAACAGATTCAGAAAACGGAAAACTCAAAACAGAACTGATGCAGAACAGACTGAACGAAAACAGAACAGATCTCGCTTTTCCTCTTCAGAACATACTCCGAACAGACTTATCAACACTCAATGAAACAGAACAGCTTCACTGATTCTTATTCTCTCAGAACTAAGTGCACAAAAAGTCTTTTCTCAAGGGTATCTTGTATTTCTCTGAGTGAGCTCGCTAATTCTATGCAAAGCTCGAAGTCACAAACTGATCCTTTGTTACAGTACCACCTTCAACACATGCACGGGAACTCAGGGGCTCAAAACTTGGCTTCTACCTACTGTAACCAGCCTACTTATACTACAGGGGAATTAGAATTACAAACGTCGCACAGTACCCAGACTCCTACATGCGTAGCACATTGCCACCGCCGCCTTACTGAGCATCTGAGTTGGACTTTCCAGTTTTAGTCTCATTTCTATAGTGAGCTCACTAAACGCGTGCCAAGAGGTGCTCTCCCGACACCCGTGGGCTTGTTCTCTAGTGACTGACAGGTCTAGGCACACGGAACTATCAGTCCTGGCATATGTCATTCAAGACTTCTTTCTTGGATTCACAGAGGCTTCTCGTAGACATGGCAACAAGTGAGTCTTCTAACAATGGGACTCAGAACAATGGGACGTGGGCTCGCGGACTTCAGCCAAAGCCCATTGCCCAAGCTCGTGCCAGTGATATCTGTCATCTCGCTTAAAGATTTCCCCGGATTTTCAGGTACGATGCGTCACAGTTAGCGAGCGTGCTAAGTACTCTCAGTGTCATTGCAATCTTCAAGGTTTTATCTAGCTCCCGCGAGCGTGCTTGTAAGTTAGAGCCTAAGGCATTGGGTATAGGGTTTGGCCTTCTCATCATGCATGCCCGTCAGGTACAGTGCTGTGACTAAGTCCTGTTTAGAATCCCGTTGCTTCTTATGCCATAAGTTATATTCCATATCCTTGCACTGCATAGCATTAGTGTCGATGCATAGTTTTAGTCCACTTGCTCACTATATTTCAGTATGCATGTAAAACACTCTAGATTGCAAAATTACATGTATAAATAGGCTGCAGTTGCAAAACCGTGCACATACCAAATAAAATGTTCGTGTTAGCATTTATATGTTTTTGAGACTGTAGAATCGACTTATGGACATGGGCTGATGATCAGAGGTGATCCCAAAGCACAGTAAGCATCCAGAACAATTTTGCTATATTTTGCCGTTTCCACCTCTATTCTCCTGGCTCACAGATACATTGCATAGTTTGATTGTGGAGTCGATTAAGGGTTTTTTGGGTCACAGAATTTGAATATGATGTCCGATCGTTAATCGGATGACTCTCTGAATAGTTATATCCATTTGAACATGATTTTCCTCATTTTTCAGCTGTTTTTTACTGCTTTTATGACCCCCCAGTACACATACAGGCTGCAAATTTTATCTACAGAGTGTGCACGGGTCCCTGACAAGTCACCTGTGGGTGGACCCACCTCCAAATGCTAAGACCTGGACCTGTTTAAGAACCTGGACCTGCTAACCCATGGGTCCACCCGGGTCCTGTAGGAACCATGCGACTCTTTGCACTAGCTGGAATAACTCCACCTGGCTTGCCTCTTGGGTGTGCTGGTAGTCTGTCTGCTAGTATCGAACAATCAAGTCTCATCTTCACTTCCTTCTACAGAACATTTACCATGGGAACCAATTGTAACCCAGAAAGCATTGCTCTTGGCATGCTGTCAGTCCTGATGTCAATTTCTAATAGAAGTTCTGACTCTGAAATTATTACCACTGTCCCAACATTGTCTATATACATCTATTGCCCTCTATTACTCCTAACGAGACTGGCTCATGATTTCTTTGCCAGAATGACCAGCTCTGGGAGCACCAATGCATTGATCTTCACCAATCTTTTTGAGACAACACACTCTAATTCTCTTTCAAGATCCAGCTCTGCAGAACCAATGACTCAAAGGTTCATTTATTTCTCACTCCTTGCATATGTAGACATCACTCATCACCCATGCTTCAACACCTCCCTCCAAGCTACAGAAAATGCTTTGGCCACCTTTTATGATGCTTTATCGTATGCCTTTTTGAATAATTCATCTTGAGAACAGGAAATCTGACTTACTGCAAAACTACCACCTCCCCAGCTGCTGCTGCTACAAATTTAAATGGAACTCAATCCACATCTGTCACTCTCATTATTTTCTAACAAAACCTTTCAATATCGCCTACTTGACAGAAGTTCAAAGTTTCTCTGATTGGTCATACAGTGGGGACTTTTGAAGAGGAGAGTTGTATACTTAACACCTATTTTTCTTTTTCTTATTCTTGACAATTCTGTCTTCCAATGATAGTGACAT